CCTCAAGCAAGACCCGGCCGGTGCGGCTCCATGCTTTCGAGCTGCCCGGTTGTACTACTAACTGCTTCTGAGAACCCTCCCCCCCCCCCCCAAGAAAAAATAAGATAAGGGCGCAACACAGGGAGTATTGTTATACAAAACCCAAAGAGTAGAACAAGGGCAGTATAGGGATTAGTGTTTTTTATTCTGCTATTCTTCTTCTTCTTCTTATTATTGTTATTATTGTTATTATGTTTCTTGTTTGTGTTTTTTTTGGGGGTTTTTAAGCAAATGGTAGTGTAGCAGTTGTCAGAACTTGGCTCAGGGGGTTGGGGGGGGGGGCTTCTCGGGCGCTTTGGGTTTCTATTATTTGGGTGGGGGCTTCCTTGTGGGGTCTTGGGGGCTAAACCCTAGCCCTTAAACCCTCAACCCTAAACCCTAAACCCTAAAACCCTACACCCTAAACCCTACGTACTAAACTCCGAACCCTAAACCCTGAAACCTGCACCCTGAACCCTGTTTGGGCGTTGAAGGTGTGTGGGGCTGGAGGCTGAGGGGTTTTGGACAGCTTGGAATTTTTTGTGGGCTTATGTAGCCAATCAGGATGCGCTTCCGTACCCAGCATGTACGGGCCCTGTCGCAACACCCGACAAGGATGTAAAAAACGAAGGCAATTTGGAGTCTGGGAGTTTCACGACAATACAAGGTGTGAAGGTTCAAGTTGTTTTTTTGATTGTTTTTTTGGGTTTTGCTGGGTTTTTTTGGCGTTCCACTTCGGAAGAACAAGCAGCTACTATCTAGCTGGCTTCACCATGATCATGACCGAGGAACGAGCTTGGTGTTCAGGATCCCGTCGGATTTTGGGACCCGGCTGGCTTCACCGCCGACGGCAGCGTGGAGGACTTCAAGCGCCGCCGACAGACCGAGATCAAGCATGGCCGCATTGCAACTTGGATGTTCGAGGTTAGCCTGGAACGCATGTAGAGCACCTGTACGACACAGAGCTCATCTTTAGCATTGTTGTTTTTTTGTTTCGTTGGGTCGGCTCAAGCAAAGTCAAGGCCATGCTGGCAGCGATGGGCTACATCACTCCTGAGCAACTTGCCGGAAGGGTTACGACAGGGAAGGGCCGAAGATAGGGCAAACCGCTTGTAATGCGTTTTAATGCGCTTGGTTTTTGTTGTTTTCGCTTGCATCGCTTGGGACGAACATCTGGGCTGTTGACGTTCGTCATGGCATTGCGCGGTGGGGTTGTGGTTTGCTGTAGTTACTGTAGTTCTTAGTGCTACCATGTGCTACCTTCATTTCGAGATGCTACGATCAACTGATGTGTTTTACACAGCTTCTTGCATTGCTTCTCATTATGAACTTTTCATCTGTAGAAGTGCTGAGGATCACTGGCAAGTTCCCTGGATACTTGAGCCCATCGGCCGGCCTGAAATTCGCGGACGTGCCAAACGGTCTTGCTGCGATCTCCAAAGTTCCCGCCGCAGGTTGGGGTCAGATCCTTGCCTACATGGCGTTCTGCGAGGTTTCCCAGGATCAGTCGGCCGGCACGGCGGCTGCAGCAGGCGACTTTGGCTTCAAGGTCTTGACCTCCAGCGACCCGGCTGAGAAGACTAAGAAGCTCTCAGCGGAGCTGGCGAACGGCAGACTTGCGATGATGGCCATCATCGGCATGTTCTTTCAGGCGGGATTATCACATGCGTGTGCCGTTAACGTTGTGATGACTTCATTGACTTCATGTGAGTTGAAGGAGGAATGCAGGTGTTAACCTTTAATGCAGAAAGCAGCTTTTGTGTTGTGATGTTTGGGTCATAGGACGGCCTGACCGGAAGCGCCTGGGGTGACTGGGCCAACTACACCGCCTCTCCGCTCCGAGCATTCGCAACTTTGATGCGCAGTAGTACCCTTCTTCCCCTTCGAGGGCTGCAGAGAGCAGAAGGTTTAGGATGTGCAGTAGAGTCCCAGTAGTGCCCTTCTTTCCTTTTCTACGGGTGGGGTTCCATGCAACAAGTAGCCTGGTTAGCCGCTAAAGTTTGGGATGTTCCCCTTTGTACTAACAGTCCTTAATCGGGATTACAGGACCGAAGCCCTCAACCCTAAACCCTAAATCCTGGTCCCTAAACCCTAAACCCTAAACCCTAAACCCTATTAAGGACTGATCGTATAAAAAGAAAACATCCTCTGAAATCCCTAAAACCCCTGACCCCTGTCCCCTAGAACGATGTGTACGACTCGCTATCACAAGCATTCATGCTTTTGGTGAACATGCCCAAAACACTGTTGTTTGTTCAGAGCGCTTTGCCTTTTCTACACAGTACGGCACAAGGATGCTTGACGCTTCTGGAACAAGATGCGCTTAAACGAACGCAACCAAACCAAGCGACCGCATCAACTGACGAAGTCTTCGCACTTTTGCGGGTGTTTTCTCAACATGGTACGCTTGCCAGGGTGGACGTTCTTATGCCCTTCTCGCCCCGAAACCCCGCCCAACCGTCCCCCCAACCCGACGCACCTTGCAGCCTGGCGTTGATGAGGCTGCTGACATTGCGGAGGCTGTCCGTCAGTCCTCCTTCACAACGGTGATGCTCAGGAAAGGTGGCGTGCTGGCGCGCCCTCCTCCGCCCGCGCGTGCCATTGCACTTTAAGCTTTCGTGCGTGCCTGGTGATGGAAACTGCCTTTTTGAGTCCGTCGCACGCGCGGCTAATTTTATCCTTCCCGTTCGCTATACCACCACTGGTTTGCGGCATGACTGTGTACAAACCATCCTACATGTGCCTCTCTTACGGGATCGTTTCGCCGACGATCGTGACCGTTCGAGTTTTTGCGAACGCATGGCCCGTAATGCCACTTACGGGGATGAACTGTGCATTCAGGCTCTTGCGCATTTTCTTGGACTTACTATTCGTGTTATTTCCCCTCAGTACGATGCGATGTCTTTTGGGGCCATCGGCCCATGTATCTATATTGGCTATACTGGCATTAGTCATTACGATGCTATCATTCCCCGTTTGCCCACTTGCCCCAGTATGGTGTGATCACATCAGTAACTCGCGCATCGATGACGCTTGGCAACTGTTCTGCAGCCAGTCCTTGTCTCTTCTGCATCGTGGCAGCATTTCTGTTGACCGAGGCGTTGCGCCTTCTTTGCGTTTTAAGCCTTTGGTTTTCGCAGTCTGCTGAGGGTAGTCTTTCTTTCCGTGTTGCACGGCTGTACAAACTCCAGCGCCGCATTCAAGAATGCCTTCTCCAAAGGGCTGCTTCAGGCTGTACTGGTGATTTCTGCCAAGTTTCAATTGCCCGTGATCTGCGCAAGCTTTGTGTTTGTACTGTTCAGGCTGTTTACAAATGGATTCGCTTACACAAAGCGCTTCTCGCCACATCTGAATTTGTGAGGACGCCTGCCGGTGTTTGTGCTGCGCCAGATGTTTTGCTTCAAAAAGTAGTTGATAAATGGAGCAAAATTTACAGAAGCTATGACTCGCGCGAGCCTCCTTCCTGGGTTTGCTGCCCGGTACGGACCTTACCTTAATCGGTACAACGTCCGCTTGCCGCCGCTTGATCATTCAAGACTTAAGCGTGTCGCTTGTGGTTCAGCCAGAAAAGCCCCTGGTCTTGATGCTTGGAACTGTGACGCTTTTAAACTGGCCTGATGTCATTTGGTGTCGATTGGGTGAGTTTCTTTCTGCCCTGGGCCACTCTTCACGCTCGTGATTTGGCCTCTTGGCAATCACAGTGGGCGCCGCGTGTGGGCGACGTTCTTCTGATGCTCTTGAACTTGAGCACGCTTGCAGCAACGGCGCGCCCCTGGCAGTCTTGTTGCTGGATCTTTCAACGTTCTTTGATCGCCTCCCATGAGACATCGAGTACCCACTACTTGAGCATTTTGGTTGTCCGCCGGAACTTGTGGTCAGGCCCAAGCGTCATATGGCCACATGTGCTTCACCTTGGTTTCGACTCGGTGCTGCTCTTGCGCCGCCTCTTACGTGCACAAATGGCACTCCCCAGGGATGCCGCTTATCCATCATTTCGATGAATGCTTTAATGTCCGTATGGGCTCGCGTTTCACGCGCTGAGGCCCCCGACATCAAATGTGGCGCCTTCGTGGACGACCGTTCCCTTCGTTCTAATGCCCAACCTGCCCTTCAGAAGAGCGTGGAGCTCACTGACGAGATTGATCCTAAACCCTAAATAGTGTTCCCTAAACCCTAAACCCTAAGCCCTATCAAGGACTGATAGTATAAAAAGAAAACATCCTCTGAAGTCCCTAAAACCCCTGACCCCTGTCCCCTAGAACGATGTGTAGGACTCGCTATCACAACCCCCCAGCCGTCCCCTGAACGCACCTTGCGGTCACGGCCAGAGCCGTTTGCGAAAGCCACCTAGCATTTCCAAAGCTCCCGAAGCCCTAAAGAACCTAAAGCCACTTAAAAGTCCTAGACCCACTGAAAAGCCTAAAGCCACTTGAAAGCCAGGAAAGCGAGCTCGGCGTGCAAGCGCCTGTTGGATTTTGGGATCCCGCAGGTGGGGAGGGGTTTCCAAAGGTTTCTGTCCCAAACCCCAAACTCAGGGGTTTAGGGTTTGACTGAATCCCAAAGATAGGGAGACGTGAGGGTCGTTTTGGGGTGCCGGGTTTTAAACGTTTGACAGATTTTTGGGGGGCTTTCCTCCGTCTAGAGTTCTATTCCAGTCGTCTATGCCCCAGGTTTTACCAAGGATGGCGACGCGGAGAACTTCGCTCGCCGCCGTCAGACAGAACTGAAGCATGGAAGGATTGCGATGCTTGCCACCATGGGCGACTGGGCCCTTTGTGCGGGTTTAGGGTTTAAGTTGCTTGGGAGAAGTGAAATGTTTCTATGGCAATATGGCAACTTGGTTTTAGTTCCGCAAAACAGCAGCCAAGGCTACATCACTCCAGAATTCAGCAAGTGGCCAGGTTACCTGTCACCCACTTTGGGCATCAAGTTTGCAGACGTCCCCACTGGCCTTGCGGCCATTTCCAAGGTTCCCATTGCAGGCTGGACGCAGATGATTCTGTGGGGTGCTTACTGCGAAACTTCCCAGGACCAGTCTCCGGGCACACCGGGCGCCGCCGGTGATTTCGGGTGGAAAGTGCTCACTTCCGACGATGCGGAGAAGAAGAAGGCGAAGCTCGCAGCGGAGCTGGCGAACGGCAGGCTCGCGATGATGGCCATCATCGGCATGTTCTTTCAGGCGGGCTTATCACATGCGTGTGCGGCTAACGTTGTGATGACTATGATGGCTTCATTGACTTCATGTGAGTTGAAGGAAGAACACAAGTGACAGCCTTTTTAATGCAGAAAGCGGCGTTTGTGAATGTGATGTTTGGGTATGTTTGGGTCATAGGACGGCCTGACCGGAAGCGCCTGGGGTGACTGGGCCAACTACACCGCCTCTCCGCTCCGAGCGTTCGAGAACGAGCTTGGTGTTCAGGATCCCGTCGGATTTTGGGACCCGGCTGGCTTCACCGCCGACGGCAGCGTGGAGGACTTCAAGCGCCGCCGACAGACCGAGATCAAGCATGGCCGCATTGCAACTCGGATGTTCGAGGTTAGCCTGGAATGCATGTAGAGCACCTCTACGACACAGAGCTCATCTTGAGGTTTTCTGTGTTTTGTTTTGTTGGGTCGGCTCAAGCAAAGTCAAGGCCATGCTGGCAGCGATGGGCTACATCACTCCTGAGCAACTTGCCGGAAGGGTTTCGACAGGGAAGAGCAGAAGATAGGGTAAACCGCTTGTAGCGCGTTTTAATGTGCTTGGTTTTGGTTGTTGTTTTTAGTTTGCATCGCTTGCAAGGTAGATCTGTGCTGTTGACATTCGTCATGGCATCGCGCAGTGGGGTTCTCGTTTGCTGTAGTTACGGTAGTTCTTAGTGCTGCCATGTGCTGATTTCATCTTGCGATGCTACGATCAGCCGATGTGTTTTACACAGCTTCTTGCATTGCTTCTCAGTATGCACTTTTCATCTGTCGAAGTGCTGAGGATCACTGGCAAGTTCCCTGGATACTTGAGCCCATCGGCCGGCTTGAAATTCGCGGATGTGCCAAACGGTCTTGCTGCGATCTCCAAAGTTCCTGCCGCAGGTTGGGGTCAGATCCTTGCCTACATGGCGTTCTGCGAGGTTTCCCAGGATCAGTCGGCCGGCACGGCGGCTGCAGCAGGCGACTTTGGCTTCAAGGTCTTGACCTCCAGCGACCCGGCTGAGAAGACTAAGAAGCTCTCAGCGGAGCTGGCGAACGGCAGACTTGCGATGATGGCCATCATCGGCATGTTCTTTCAGGCGGGATTATCACATGCGTGTGCCGCTAGCGTTGTGATGACTTCATTGACGTCATGTAAGTTGAAGGAAGAATGCAAGTGTGAACCTGTAATACAGAAAGCAGCTTTTGTGTTGTGATGTTTGGGTCATAGGACGGCCTGACCGGAAGCGCCTGGGGTGACTGGGCCAACTACACCGCCTCTCCGCTCCGAGCGTTCGAGAACGAGCTTGGTGTTCAGGATCCCGTCGGATTTTGGGACCCGGCTGGCTTCACCGCCGACGGCAGCGTGGAGGACTTCAAGCGCCGCCGCCAGACCGAGATCAAGCATGGCCGCATTGCAACTCGGATGTTCGAGGTTAGCCTGGAACGCATGTAGAGCACCTCTACGACGCAGAGCTCATCTTAAGCTTTTTTGTTTCTTGTTTCGTTGGGTAGGCCACTCAAGCAAATTCAAGGCCATGCTGGCAGCGATGGGCTACATTACTCCGGAGCAACTTGCCGGAAGGGTTACGACAGGGAAGGGCAGAGGACAGGGTAAAACGCTTGCGATGCGTTTTAATGCGCTTGCTTTTTGTTGCTTTCGCTTGCATCGCTTGCGACGAAGATCTGGGCTGTTGACATACGCCGTGGCATTGCGTGGTGGGGTTCTCGTTTGCTGTAGTTGTAGTTCTCAATGCTACCGTGTGCTGCCTTCTTTTCGCGATGCCACGATCAACCGATGTGTTTTACACAGCTTCTTGGCTTCTCATTATGCACTTTTCATCTGTCGAAGTGCTGAGGATCACTGGCAAGTTCCCTGGATACTTGAGCCCATCGGCCGGCTTGAAATTCGCGGACGTGCCAAACGGTCTTGCTGCGATCTCCAAAGTTCCCGCCGCAGGTTGGGGTCAGATCCTTGCCTACATGGCGTTCTGCGAGGTTTCCCAGGATCAGTCGGCCGGCACGGCGGCTGCAGCAGGCGACTTTGGCTTCAAGGTCTTGACCCCCAGCGACCCGGCTGAGAAGACTAAGAAGCTCTCAGCGGAGCTGGCGAACGGCAGACTTGCGATGATGGCCATCATCGGCATGTTCTTTCAGGCGGGCTTATCACATGCGTGTGCCGCTAACGTTGTGATGACTTCATTGACTTCATGTGAGTTGAAGGAAGAATGCAAGTGTCAACCTTTAATACAGAAGGCGGTGTTTGTGAAAGTGATGTTTGGGTCGTAGGACGGCCTGACCGGAAGTGCCTGGGGTGACTGGGCCAACTACACCGCCTCTCCGCTCCGAGCGTTCGAGAACGAGCTTGGTGTTCAGGATCCCGTCGGATTTTGGGACCCGGCTGGCTTCACCGCCGACGGCAGCGTGGAGGACTTCAAGCGCCGCCGCCAGACCGAGATCAAGCATGGCCGCATTGCAACTCGGATGTTCGAGGTTAGCCTGGAATGCATGTAGAGCACCTCTGCGACACAGAGCTCATCTTAAGCTTTTTGGTTTCTTGTTTTTGTTGGGTAGGCCACTCAAGCAAATTCAAGGCCATGCTGGCAGCGATGGGCTACATTACTCCGGAGCAACTTGCCGGAAGGGTTACGACAGGGAAGGGCAGAGGATGGGGTAAACCGCTTGCCATGCGTTTTAATGCGCTTGCTTTTTGTTGTTTTCGCTTGCATCGCTTGCGACGAAGATCTGTGGGCTGTTGACATTCGCCGTGGCATTGCGCGGTGGGGTTCTCGTTTGCTGTAGTTGTAGTTCTCAATGCTACTGTGTGCTACCTTCTTTTCGCGATGCCACGATCAACCGATGTGTTTTACACAGCTTCTTGGCTTCTCATTATGCACTTTTCATCTGTCGAAGTGCTGAGGATCACTGGCAAGTTCCCTGGATACTTGAGCCCATCGGCCGGCTTGAAATTCGCGGACGTGCCAAACGGTCTTGCTGCGATCTCCAAAGTTCCCGCCGCAGGTTGGGGTCAGATCCTTGCCTACATGGCGTTCTGCGAGGTTTCCCAGGATCAGTCGGCCGGCACGGCGGCTGCAGCAGGCGACTTTGGCTTCAAGGTCTTGACCTCCAGCGACCCGGCTGAGAAGACTAAGAAGCTCTCAGCGGAGCTGGCGAACGGCAGACTTGCGATGATGGCCATCATCGGCATGTTCTTTCAGGCGGGCTTATCACATGCGTGTGCCGTTAATGTTATGTCATGACTTCATTGACTTCATTGACTTCATGTGAGTTGAAGGAAGAATGCAAGTGTCAACCTTTAATACAGAAGGCGGTGTTTGTGAAAGTGATGTTTGGGTCGTAGGACGGCCTGACCGGAAGTGCCTGGGGTGACTGGGCCAACTACACCGCCTCTCCGCTCCGAGCGTTCGAGAACGAGCTTGGTGTTCAGGATCCCGTCGGATTTTGGGACCCGGCTGGCTTCACCGCCGACGGCAGCGTGGAGGACTTCAAGCGCCGCCGGCAGACCGAGATCAAGCATGGCCGCATTGCAACTCGGATGTTCGAGGTTAGCCTGGAATGCATGTAGAGCACCTCTGCGACACAGAGCTCATCTTAAGCTTTTTGGTTTCTTGTTTTTGTTGGGTAGGCCACTCAAGCAAATTCAAGGCCATGCTGGCAGCGATGGGCTACATTACTCCGGAGCAACTTGCCGGAAGGGTTACGACAGGGAAGGGCAGAGGATGGGGTAAACCGCTTGCCATGCGTTTTAATGCGCTTGCTTTTTGTTGTTTTCGCTTGCATCGCTTGCGACGAAGATCTGTGGGCTGTTGACATTCGCCGTGGCATTGCGCGGTGGGGTTCTCGTTTGCTGTAGTTGTAGTTCTCAATGCTACTGTGTGCTACCTTCTTTTCGCGATGCCACGATCAACCGATGTGTTTTACACAGCTTCTTGGCTTCTCATTATGCACTTTTCATCTGTCGAAGTGCTGAGGATCACTGGCAAGTTCCCTGGATACTTGAGCCCATCGGCCGGCTTGAAATTCGCGGACGTGCCAAACGGTCTTGCTGCGATCTCCAAAGTTCCCGCCGCAGGTTGGGGTCAGATCCTTGCCTACATGGCGTTCTGCGAGGTTTCCCAGGATCAGTCGGCCGGCACGGCGGCTGCAGCAGGCGACTTTGGCTTCAAGGTCTTGACCTCCAGCGACCCGGCTGAGAAGACTAAGAAGCTCTCAGCGGAGCTGGCGAACGGCAGACTTGCGATGATGGCCATCATCGGCATGTTCTTTCAGGCGGGCTTATCACATGCGTGTGCCGTTAATGTTATGTCATGACTTCATTGACTTCATTGACTTCATGTGAGTTGAAGGAAGAATGCAAGTGTCAACCTTTAATACAGAAGGCGGTGTTTGTGAAAGTGATGTTTGGGTCGTAGGACGGCCTGACCGGAAGTGCCTGGGGTGACTGGGCCAACTACACCGCCTCTCCGCTCCGAGCGTTCGAGAACGAGCTTGGTGTTCAGGATCCCGTCGGATTTTGGGACCCGGCTGGCTTCACCGCCGACGGCAGCGTGGAGGACTTCAAGCGCCGCCGCCAGACCGAGATCAAGCATGGCCGCATTGCAACTCGGATGTTCGAGGTTAGCCTGGAATGCATGTAGAGCACCTCTACGACACAGAGCTCATCTTGAGGTTTTCTGTGTTTTGTTTTGTTGGGTCGGCTCAAGCAAAGTCAAGGCCATGCTGGCAGCGATGGGCTACATCACTCCTGAGCAACTTGCCGGAAGGGTTTCGACAGGGAAGAGCAGAAGATAGGGTAAACCGCTTGTAGCGCGTTTTAATGTGCTTGGTTTTTGTTGTTGTTTTTAGTTTGCATCGCTTGCAACGTAGATCTGTGCTGTTGACATTCGTCATGGCATCGCGCAGTGGGGTTCTCGTTTGCTGTAGTTACTGTAGTTCTTAGTGCTGCCATGTGCTGATTTCATCTTGCGATGCTACGATCAGCCGATGTGTTTTACACAGCTTCTTGCATTGCTTCTCAGTATGCACTTTTCATCTGTCGAAGTGCTGAGGATCACTGGCAAGTTCCCTGGATACTTGAGCCCATCGGCCGGCTTGAAATTCGCGGATGTGCCAAACGGTCTTGCTGCGATCTCCAAAGTTCCTGCCGCAGGTTGGGGTCAGATCCTTGCCTACATGGCGTTCTGCGAGGTTTCCCAGGATCAGTCGGCCGGCACGGCGGCTGCAGCAGGCGACTTTGGCTTCAAGGTCTTGACCTCCAGCGACCCGGCTGAGAAGACGAAAAAGCTCTCAGCGGAGCTGGCGAACGGCAGACTTGCGATGATGGCCATCATCGGCATGTTCTTTCAGGCGGGATTATCACATGCGTGTGCCGTTAATGTTGTGGTGACTTCATTGACTTCATGTGAGTTGAAGGAGGAATGCAAGTGTTAACCTTTAATACAGAAAGCAGCTGTTGTGTTGTGATGTTTGGGTCATAGGACGGCCTGACCGGAAGCGCCTGGGGTGACTGGGCCAACTACACCGCCTCTCCGCTCCGAGCGTTCGAGAACGAGCTTGGTGTTCAGGATCCCGTCGGATTTTGGGACCCGGCTGGCTTCACCGCCGACGGCAGCGTGGAGGACTTCAAGCGCCGCCGCCAGACCGAGATCAAGCATGGCCGTATTGCAACTCGGATGTTCGAGGTTAGCCTGGAGGGCATGTAGAGCACCTCTACGACACAGAGCTCATCTTAAGCTTTTTTGTTTCTTGTTTCGTTGGGTAGGCCACTCAAGCAAATTCAAGGCCATGCTGGCAGCGATGGGCTACATTACTCCGGAGCAACTTGCCGGAAGGGTTACGACAGGGAAGGGCAGAGGACAGGGTAAAACGCTTGCGATGCGTTTTAATGCACTTGCTTTTTGTCGTTTTCGCTTGCATCGCTTGCGACGAAGATCTGGGCTGTTGACATATGCCGTGGCATTGCGCGGTGGGGTTCTCGTTTGCTGTAGTTGTAGTTCTCAATGCTACCGTGTGCTACCTTCTTTTCGCGATGCCACGATCAACCGATGTGTTTTACACAGCTTCTTGGCTTCTCATTATGCACTTTTCATCTGTCGAAGTGCTGAGGATCACTGGCAAGTTCCCTGGATACTTGAGCCCATCGGCCGGCTTGAAATTCGCGGACGTGCCAAACGGTCTTGCTGCGATCTCCAAAGTTCCCGCCGCAGGTTGGGGTCAGATCCTTGCCTACATGGCGTTCTGCGAGGTTTCCCAGGATCAGTCGGCCGGCACGGCGGCTGCAGCAGGCGACTTTGGCTTCAAGGTCTTGACCTCCAGCGACCCGGCTGAGAAGACTAAGAAGCTCTCAGCGGAGCTGGCGAACGGCAGACTTGCGATGATGGCCATCATCGGCATGTTCTTTCAGGCGGGCTTATCACATGCGTGTGCCGTTAATGTTATGTCATGACTTCATTGACTTCATTGACTTCATGTGAGTTGAAGGAAGAATGCAAGTGTCAACCTTTAATACAGAAGGCGGTGTTTGTGAAAGTGATGTTTGGGTCGTAGGACGGCCTGACCGGAAGCGCCTGGGGTGACTGGGCCAACTACACCGCCTCTCCGCTCCGAGCGTTCGAGAACGAGCTTGGTGTTCAGGATCCCGTCGGATTTTGGGACCCGGCTGGCTTCACCGCCGACGGCAGCGTGGAGGACTTCAAGCGCCGCCGCCAGACCGAGATCAAGCATGGCCGCATTGCAACTCGGATGTTCGAGGTTAGCCTGGAACGCATGTAGAGCACCTCTACGACACAGAGCTCATCTTAAGCTTTTTCGTTTCTTGTTTCGTTGGGTAGGCCACTCAAGCAAATTCAAGGCCATGCTGGCAGCGATGGGCTACATTACTCCGGAGCAACTTGCCGGAAGGGTTACGACAGGGAAGGGCAGAGGACAGGGTAAAACGCTTGCGATGCGTTTTAATGCACTTGCTTTTTGTCGTTTTCGCTTGCATCGCTTGCGACGAAGATCTGGGCTGTTGACATATGCCGTGGCATTGCGCGGTGGGGTTCTCGTTTGCTGTAGTTGTAGTTCTCAATGCTACCTTGTGCTACCTTCTTTTCGCGATGCCACGATCAACCGATGTGTTTTACACAGCTTCTTGGCTTCTCATTATGCACTTTTCATCTGTCGAAGTGCTGAGGATCACTGGCAAGTTCCCTGGATACTTGAGCCCATCGGCCGGCTTGAAATTCGCGGACGTGCCAAACGGTCTTGCTGCGATCTCCAAAGTTCCCGCCGCAGGTTGGGGTCAGATCCTTGCCTACATGGCGTTCTGCGAGGTTTCCCAGGATCAGTCGGCCGGCACGGCGGCTGCAGCAGGCGACTTTGGCTTCAAGGTCTTGACCTCCAGCGACCCGGCTGAGAAGACTAAGAAGCTCTCAGCGGAGCTGGCGAACGGCAGACTTGCGATGATGGCCATCATCGGGATGTTCTTTCAGGCGGGCTTATCACATGCGTGTGCCGTTGTGACTTCATTGTCTTCGTGTGAGTTCAAGACTTCATGTGAGTTGTTGAAAGAATGCAAGTCATCATTCAAGTAGAGAATGTGCCGTTTGTGTGATGCTTGTGTCGTAGGACGGCCTGACCGGAAGCGCCTGGGGTGACTGGGCCAACTACACTGCTTCGCCTTTGCGCGCTGAGCCTGTCTCTGCCGCCGCGGCAGCGGCTGCAGCCAAAGCTGCCGCGGCCAAGGCAGGCGCGAGCGCAGGAGCGAAGACAGCAGCGGCCACCACGGGCATCGGTGCCGGCACTGGCAAGTCCCTGAGCGGTGAGGGCGAGGAGGTGCCCCCTGAGCCGACTTTCGACCCGGCGAATGAGGTGGGCGTCACCGAGCCCTTCGGCTACTTCGACCCGGCCGGCTTCTGCAAGAAGGGTGACAAGGCCGGCTTCCGCAACCTGCGCGCGGCCGAGATCAAGCATGGCAGGGTTGCGATGATGGCCGCAGTGGGTGCCGTCGTGCAGCACTACGTGAAGTTCCCTGGCTTCGACAGCGTGCCTGCCGGACTCGGCGCTGTGGAGGTCCCGCCGGGCACCTACGGCTTCGCCGCGCTCTTCGCGGTCTCGGGCTTGCTGGAGCTGGGCGCCTGGACTGAGGACCCCTCGAAGGAGCCGGGCAACTTCGGTGACCCCGCCGGCCTGGGCCAGTACACGCTGGAGATGCGCAACCGGGAGATCAACAACGGCCGAATGGCCATGTTCGCAGCCATCGGTATCATCGCCGCCAACGTCTACACGGGCAAGGATGCCATCGAGCAGTTCGGCCTTGCGTAGGGCGCTGACAGCAAATTCTTTGTCAATCTGTAAAGAATTGTAAATCCCAGCCCTGATGGGCTTCTTTTAGTGTTGTGAGTTTTGTTGCGTGGCTTCCGGTTCCGTGGGCGCTTTAGCGGCTATCCACAAGCCCCCAAGCCACGTTCTCATACTCCTGGCGTGGGCGAACAAGTCACCGTGCTAGCCTCAGCAACATTTTGACGAGGTTTGTTTCGAAGGATGGGCGCTAAGCTTCAACCTCTTGACATGTTTTGGTGTGTTCGCTTCTTCAAAGCCTCAGAGATGCCACCGTCCGCTTACCCCGCGCGTTGTTGAATGATCCCGCACGCCAAGAGCTCCCGGCCTCCGACACGTGGGGTGTCGCAGGCCGACGAAGTTTTGTGTGCAACTCCACCGCAAATGTCGGAGAAGCTCCAAAAAGATCACTGGCGCTTGCCTGGCTGTTCACCGTAGGCCCTGTAGGCATGGGCAGCGCTGCGCATCGTCACCCAGCAAAGAGGGGTCACGCGGAAGGCACGTTTCTGCTGCTGCGGGCTCAAGATTTAATACATTTAATTGCCTTTTCTGCAGGCGTGGCCTGACCTCTTTTCCCTTTTAATTCAGACTTGTACATTTTCGCAATGTCTGGCCCGGCGCCCAGGGCTCTTCGGCTCTTCGGCTCTTCGCTCTTCGGCGCTTCGGCTCTTCGGCTCTTCGGCTCTTCGGCTCTTCGGCTCCTGGCTCTCTGCGGGTTCGCGCCGACAGGGGTGGTGCACACGCGCACACACACACACACACACACACACACACACGGCATGGCCGTAGGGCTTCATGACGGAGCACATCCGCCGCGCTGACCCCAGACCCGGAGCCCTGAACACTCTGAACCCCTCCTCCGCAAAAGCAAGGACCACTTCGGACCGAGGCATCGAACCTTCAAACATCAAAGAAGAAAAAGAGGGAAGAGAGAGGAGCCCCTTAGCCCCCGCCTCCTCCTACAGCTAGTGATACAAGGCCAGAAGGCTGTGGCCGCAGCGGCCCTCGCCACCGCTGCCTTCACTGCCAAGGAGGCGCGCGCGCTTTCTTTTTTTTGGGTTGGGGGGAGGCGGGGGGGGGGGAGTGTGGGGGGGCAAACGGCTTTTGGGGGGCCGTTTTTGGGATTTTTGGGTCTTCTTAGGTTTTTATTTTGGCTTGACTTGACACTTTACGGCTTTCGGGGCTGGGGTTTGGGGTTCCGGATGTCAAGGCAAGTTGGGCCATGGGGGCTGAAGGGAGGGAGCCTACACTTAGAAACACCCCTATGTTGGCATTGTTTTTTGTGTGGTTGTTGTGGGAGTACAACCCAACAGGTCTGAACACAGCACTCAGACCCCGAAACAAAACCAAAACCCCTCAAGCCCCTCAAGCCCCTCAAGCCCCTCAAGCCCCTCAAGCCCCTCAAGCCCCTCAAACTGTCAAACCCTGAAACTCTCAAACCCTCAAACCCTCAGAGCTTTGATCGGTTTGGGAGCTTCGGGTTTCGCTTTCTGGGGGGTTTGGGGATTTCTGGGTTCAGGGTTGAGAGATTTAGGGCTCCATTTTTTGGAATTGCATTTTTTCTCTATGTTTTTTGGGAGCTCTGGTCGATTTTGTTTTCAGGGGCCTAGGGGTTCAGGGGTCTCGGTTTTCGGCTTTTGGTTATGGTCTATGGATTTCGGGGTTTAGTGTTTCGCTTTATATCCCTGGCTCTTCCCTTTTACCTTCGGGTTGGAGGGCTTGTCTGGGGCTTAGGATAGGGTGTAGGGTCGGAGGTTTTAGTGGGTTATTGGGGTTCCAAAGGTTGGGTTTTTCAGGGCATTTGCGGAGGCTTTTGTCGCCACCTCGGCGCCTGCCACAGCAGCGCAGGACGGCTCTTAAGCGCCCCAAACTGCTCCCGTACCTCCCCGCACCCCGCAATGCAACAAAGCCTTAAAGCCCCCTAAGCTGAGTTGCGTGCTCGGGGAAGGGAGGGGGGGGGGTGAGGTCGAGGATGGTATTGGGGGGTTTTGGCATTTCAGGGAACTTAGTGGAGTCTCTGTGCGTCAAGGGCTTTGGTCACAGGGGCGGAAGCCCTGAGCACAAAGAACCCTAAACGATAATCCTGCGAAGGCCAAGCATTCCATTGAGCCCTAAAAGCCCCAAACTGAATGATATCTATCTTTCTGGGAAGACATGGATGATTATGGTTTTTAGGGGAGTCAGGGGGAAGACAGTGAAAGTGTGTGCCAAGTGTCCGTTTTTAAGTGAGGTTGTCATGAGCCCAACCGTGTATAATCTGATGGAACGTTGTGACTGCAAATCTTGGTTTGTTGCTTTTGTTCGCGCCCGGTTGAATCTAGAGGCGAAGGGAAGGCACTAAGCACGTAAGACAAGCTAGGAAAGCGAGTGAGATTTATCGACCTTCCTGGGCAAAAGGGAGGAACACCCTAAACCGAAACGCCCCAAACCCTCAAGGGTTTAGGTTTCCATGATGGAGGTATGGCTTTAGGACATTCTAGGGTTTGGGCTTCTGTTCACGTTCACTGCCTTGTTCGTCTTGACCAGCATTTGGGGGTTTGTGTGCCGAGTCGAGGCTCCCACAAGCACCAGGCTGCGTGGCAGCACATCCGCAGGCAAGTCGGATGCCGAAGTCTAGGTTCCAGTAGAGACCCAAGCTTGGACAAAGTTTGAAGATCAAGTATGGAGGTGCGTCGTAGGATTTGGGCTTCGGCAACTCTTGCTTTAAATCCTAAACCCTCAACCCTAGGGCTGAAACCCTAAACCCTACACCCTACACCCTAAGCCCTAAACCCTACACCCTAAACCTTAAACCCTAAAGCCCCCCCCCCAAAAAAAAAAAAAACCCTTCCTGCATGCAGGCTCCTCGCCTTCGTCGGTGCTTCCCCTGGCCACGGCTGCGGTTGTGGCGGCCGGAGCTTTCCGAAGCCAGGCGAGAGAGGTTCCAACACGGCCCCCCCAAAAACCTTGAGGCGGCTAGAACAGGGTTTCGGGTTTAGGGTTTAGGGTTTAGGAATTAGGGTTTAGGGTTGAGGGTTTTTTTGTTCAATCATTCAGCTTAGGGGCATCAAGGCGTTTTAAGGTTCAGAGTTTTAAGGGTTTTAGGGTTTTTAAGAGGGTTTTACCCTTCTGCGTTTCTAAACATAGGGCTGTAGGGTTAGGGCAGGTGTCGCAGTGCTTGGGAATGAAGGATCTAGATCCTGAGCCCTAAACCCTAAAACCTAAGAACTTAAAAACCGCGTTTAAGGGTTCGGTTTTAGTTTCAGACAGGGGGAAGAGGCAAACACCCTAAGACCCCAACACCCAAAACCCTAAAACCCCAGCACCCTAAACCCCAACGCCCGAGCACTAGCACCCCAGCACCCCATATCCGAGCACCCTTAATCCTAGCACCCTGAATCCCCAAAACTGTAAAACTCCAAGCCCGCAGCACCGCAAAGCCCGAACACCCAAGCACCCGAAGAGCACCCTAAACCCCACAACCCCCGAACACCCCAAACAGAGACCCCAAAAAAGGCCTGGAGGGGTTTCAAAACCCCGAAGCCCCCAAACCTCTGGGCCCCCCCCAATGCGGGTTTGGGGCTTGGGGTTGAGGGTCCATTGCACTAGGTTTTTCGGGCTTGGGGTTTAGGGCTTCAGAGCTTGAGAGTTTTGGGGCATGAGGGTTTGTAGAAGTGAGGAAGACTCCGAAACACCCCCCAACAGAATCTCCCGAATGCCCAGAGGCCCCTCGCAAAGCCCAAAACGGCAACAGTCTAGGCCGTGCACTTCTACAAACCCTCCAGCCCCAAACTCTAAAGCTCTGAAGCCCTAATCCCCAAGCCCGAAAAACCTAGGGCCCTCGACCCTAGACCCTAAGTACCCGAAAAGCCCTACTGCCCCATCTAAACCCTAAACCCTAAACCCTAAACCCTAAACCCTAAACCCTAAACCCTAAACCCTAAACCCTAAACCCTAAACCCTAAACCCTAAACCCTAAACCCTAAACCCGAAACCCTAAACCCGAAACCCTAAACCTAAACCCTAAACCCTAAACCTAAACACTAAACCCTAAACCCTAGAACCCTAAACCCTAAACCCTAAACCCTAAACCCTAAACCCTAAACCCTAAACCCTAAACCCTAAACCCTAAACCCTAAACCCTAAACCCTAAACCCTAAACCCGAAACCCTAAACCCGAAACCCTAAACCTAAACCCTAAACCCTAAACCTAAACACTAAACCCTAAACCCTAGACCCTAAACCCTAAACCCTAAACCCTGAACCCTAAACCCTAAACCCTAAACCCCTAAAGCCCTAAACCCGAAAGCCCTGCAGGGCTCAGCCTCAAGCAAGACCCGGCCGGTGCGGCTCCATGCTTTCGAGCTGCCCGGTTGTACTACTAACTGCTTCTGAGAACCCTCCCCCCCCCCCCCAAGAAAAAATAAGATAAGGGCGCAACACAGGGAGTATTGTTATACAAAACCCAAAGAGTAGAACAAGGGCAGTATAGGGATTAGTGTTTTTTATTCTGCTATTCTTCTTCTTCTTCTTATTATTGTTATTATTGTTATTATGTTTCTTGTTTGTGTTTTTTTTGGGGGTTTTTAAGCAAATGGTAGTGTAGCAGTTGTCAGAACTTGGCTCAGGGGGTTGGGGGGGGGGGCTTCTCGGGCGCTTTGGGTTTCTATTATTTGGGTGGGGGCTTCCTTGTGGGGTCTTGGGGGCTAAACCCTAGCCCTTAAACCCTCAACCCTAAACCCTAAACCCTAAAACCCTACACCCTAAACCCTACGTACTAAACTCCGAACCCTAAACCCTGAAACCTGCACCCTGAACCCTGTTTGGGCGTTGAAGGTGTGTGGGGCTGGAGGCTGAGGGGTTTTGGACAGCTTGGAATTTTTTGTGGGCTTATGTAGCCAATCAGGATGCGCTTCCGTACCCAGCATGTACGGGCCCTGTCGCAACACCCGACAAGGATGTAAAAAACGAAGGCAATTTGGAGTCTGGGAGTTTCACGACAATAC